TTTGCAGAGGACTCTCTCAGAGGTGGCCCGCGCCTTACCGAGCCAGCCGCGCTCCAGCTGGATGTGGGCGGTGAAGCGCGACTCGCTCGTGCCGACGAAGAAGGCGGCCCTGGCGGCGACCCACATCTCCACAGCGGCCACCTGCCCTCGGGCCCAGCGCCCGCGGGAGCTTTCTGCCCCGTGTCGGACCCCTGGACCCTCAAGCACCGAGCTGGCTCGCGACAGGCCGCAGCAAGATGGGGTCGAGGGCGGCTCTGGTCGCGATTTCTGATGACGCTGTGATTTGTTTTCGACGTCGGATCCCTGGGTGGGGCGTTCTCCACGAAATATCAAGCCCTCGGGCGCATCTTTCGGGCCCTTGGGACAACAAAGGATGCGCGGCGAAAAACTGGCAGTGGGGATGGGGTCGAGGGCCCTGAGGCCCGAGCATCGAAAAAATAGGCCTCCAGCCCCGCTTCGGACCCGAAACCTCGAAGCTGTAGTTCGGGCATGTCCTCCCACAGGCGGATTTTGGACGAGAAATTGGAAGCGAGAAATAAAACACTGGTCGAAAAAAAATCTTCCCCAGGGTATTTTTGACTACTTTCGAGTATTCCTCCTGCAGAGGGCCAGGCCCGACTTCATCGTAGCCGTGGCATCCTGGGCCCGGCCTGGAGCTGACATCCCCTTCCCCCCCAGGAGCCAGGCCCACGTCGGGCCCGCAGAGCCGTCGTGGTGGCGGGCAGTTGCGGGCCCTCTGCCAAGCCTTGCCCGGATGCCCCAGCCCGGCGGCCACGCTGGGCACGTCCCGCAAGAAGACCACGGGGGCGTCGATCCGGCCTCTGAGCTCGCCGGACAGGTCCTCGGGCGCGTCGGTGGCGACGAAGACGGCCCCGAGGTCCTGCTCCAGCAGGATGGCGTTGATCTGCTCTGCTATGGCCGCTGGCCCTGGCGTTGTCTTCGCGTGCGCGCTGAGGAAGTCGGTCCGCCGGCAGTGCGCGGCCAGGAAGCTGCCACCGCCCAGCTGCGCCCGCATGAACTCCTCCCCCGCGGCCCTGATGGGCTTGGCGAAGAGCATGGCCTCCCGGAGCCCTACGCTGTCCAGCTCGGCGGGGCTGGCTGGGCTCACCGCGTCGCAACCCTTTAACAGGACTGCCGTCGCGCCCTCGCTGCCGGCAGCCGAAGCGAGGTCGACCACATCGCGCGGCAGCGGGCTGGACAGCAGGCCACACCGGAGCTCTCTTGCCAGTACGCCTCCCTCGCACCCTCCAGAGTACTCCACATGCCACCTCTGCGATTCCTCGCTCCAACTGTGTGGGACGGGCGAGCTGCACGAGTCCAACCTCCTCGCCCAGCCATAGAAGCCGCCCCTGCGGCCATACCGCTCTTTCTCTGGGACTCTCTCCTGACTCAGCGACACAGCGAAATCAACATGGGGGCCACCAACCTCAGTCACGTACTCATCGAACTCCATGATGGGGATTCTCGTGGAATTCAGCGCACGAGCGTCGAAAAAGTCGCGCCATGCAATGTGTGTAGAGTCGGTATGCCAGTGCGCGAGCTGGCACCACGCAGGCAAAACAAGAGTCCACTGCGCACAACGGCCAGGGCCAAAACTCCCCTTACAGAGCTGCTTGGCCGCCTCATTGAGCTGCCAGACAATCCAGCCGACGCGGGGAAACACCTCTCGCTGAAGGTTGAAACCTTCCCCTCGCTTCACGTCGTACAGCAAGAAGCGACGGAGCGCAGAGGCTCCGTCGTATCCTTGCTCAGGCTCGGACTGGCACGCCCCGTCCACCGCGGGACACGCGCCACCGCTGGCGTCGCGTGGGCAGCGAGACTGGCAGGAGGACAGCACCTTCTCGTAGCCCGGGTCGTAGCACGTGCACGAGGGCCCCTCCCCGCCCGCCTGCCGGTGCGCGCACGTGTCGCCCGCGAGAGCGCCCCTGGACCCGGGGGAGCTGGCCTCGCACCACGCCGCGCACATGTCGAGGTTGGCGTCCTCTGGGCACGCCCTCGCTGCGGCGGCCGCGGCGGCCGCGGGCCCCACGCCGCCGCCCTCCTCCTCGGGGCAGCGCGAGTCGCACGCGGCCAGGACCGCCTCTGGAGGCCTCCTGGATGGGGTCCGAGTGGATGGGGTCGGCGGATCGCGCCGCGTCGGCGATGCACCGGCGATGCATCGGCCATGCACTGGCGACGTCGGCGATGCATCGGCGACGCCGGCGTGGAGAAGAGTGGGCCCCACATCGAGCCGCATCGCTGATGCATCGCTGATGCATCGGCGACGCGGCGCGATCCGCCGACCCCATTTACTCGGACCCCATCTAGGAGGCCTAGAGCCTCGTAGCCAGCGTCGTAGCACGTGCACGACGGGCCCCGCCCGGCGGCCTGCTCCGCCGGCGACAGGTGCGCGCAGGCGCTGCCGGAGAGGGCCGCATGCGAGCCGGGCGCCGCACCTCGGTGGTGGACAAACCTCCCTTTATTGGAAGATTGGACGTGAGCACCGACACCAACACCAGGG